CTGTCCAGGAGCTCAGTGATGCCCTGGTCCAGATCTCGAAGGAAATACCCCAGGACACCATCCGTCGTCTCATTACAGACGTTGTCAGGCATGCATACAAGCACATGGGGGCCATACAAACTACCGAGTACCATTTTGAGTTGCTGCAATGAAATTTCAGCGAAATGGACTAGCCTGCTGCATCATTTTTTCACTTTGATTTTCGGGGTGTCTTTGAATTCAGCCCCTCTGTAGGTCGATAATTTTCATTTCCATCAAACGATGTGGCAACTTTTCGTTCCTAATACATTACACAGTCCATATCAGTATAGATATCCAGCAGGATACTTTTCCCCTTTGAGATCTGATGTGTTTTCAAAGTGTTCCTTTAATTTTTTGAGCAGAGTAATTGCATATATGTGATGTCATTGTGTGATTACATAAACAAACTGGTAAATCAGTTATTGGAACCAGTTCATTGAAATGAACTGTCCGAAAGAGCCAGTTCACGGAAACAAATTGGTCTTTCCCATTCGTCGGAGGCTCTGAATTATAGGTAATAATGTTGTAAATAATGTTTAGTTTCTTGCACGGATCGATCGTTTCACTTCACAAGACCATTGCTCTCACTGATAGTTTGATCAGAGATTTCAAGCCAGTGGTTCCCAACCCTGTTCTTGGAACCCCCTCAACACTGCGCATGTTGAATCCTCTCCTCTCTTTGTCTTACACACTCATTTCAGGTCTTGGAAGCTCTACACAGCTGATGACCTGAATCGGTTTATTAGGGAGACATGCAAAATGTGCCCTGTTAAGAAGGAGATCCGGGAACAGGGTTTTGAACCGCTTACAATTAGGGCGCCTTCCACCAAGTATAATAATGAGGGGAAATGTTTTTATGCTCATTACTTCCTTAACTCCACATTGCTCCTCTTCACACATAAGCCCAATGACTGTGTGTTCTTTTCTTTGCTGCTTGTATCACATAAATGCAAATAGAAAAGTTACAGTATTACAGACAAATTAGAACATCAATAGCACTAAGTTCTTGGGTTCAATTTGCATGGAATGCGTGCATGTTTAAAATCTGTATCTTAATGCAGTGCAAGCCACTTTAGATAAAAGTGTCCTCCAAATGCATACATGTAAATGTTTCTTCTCTTCCAAATGACCCCCTGACAAACACACACACACCTAAATTATTACAAGAAACAAGGATCTCCTTGCCTCTGCTTTTGATATCCACATTCGTCTCATTCTTTTTTTATCCCTTGAAGGGATAGGTTTTATCCCAGTTTCTGGTCAAATGGGATGCCTTTCACATTTCTGGCAGTACAGGCTGACATATTAAAATTTGTGATTCTTCCATGGGGAACGGATAGTTACTGAATGAATATAATGTTATATCAAAACTCCGGATGGCAGCAACTGGAATCCAACCAATTTCACAATTTGTACCCACTGTTTTGCAATCCACAGAATTGTAGACCCTCCTCTCAATTATAAAATCTCCGCCTCAGCTGTAGCCCCTCCT